CTATATTCGGAGTTCGGAAATGTTCTGAGTGATTCAGGTATTTTTCGGAGTACCGGAGAGTTACGGGAATTCGCCGGGGAGTATATGGGCCTTATTGGGCCATACGGGAATAGAGGAGAAAGGCCGAAAGGAAGGAGGCGCGCAGCCCCCCTCTGGTCCGAATTGGACAAGGGGTGCGGCCCCCCTTTCCTTCCTCCTCTCCCCCTCTTTCCCCCTTCTCCTACTCCAACAAGGAAGGAGGGGTCCAACTCCTGGTGGGAGGACTCCCCTTGGCGCGTCCCTCCTAGGACGGCCGCCCCTCCCCCCTTGCTCCTTTATATACGGGGGCAGGGGGGCACCTCTAGGCACAACAACACAAGTTGATCTACGGATCGTTCCTTAGCCGTGTGCGGTGCCCCCCTCCATCGTATTCCACCTCGGTCATATCGTCGCGGAGTTTAGGCGAAGCCCTGCGCCGGTAGAACATCATCATCGTCACCACGCCGTCGTGCTGACGGAACTCATCCCCGAAGCTTTGCTGGATCGGAGCCCGGGGATCGTCATCGAGCTGAACGTGTGTTGAACTCGGAGGTGCCGTACGTTCGGTGCTTGGATCGGTCGGATCGTGAAGACGTACGACTACATCAACCGCGTTGTGCTAACGCTTCCGCTTACGGTCTACGAGGGTACGTGGACAACACTCTCCCCTCTCGTTGCTATGCCATCACCATGATCTTGCGTGTGCGTAGGAAATTTTCTGAAATTACTACGTTCCCCAACACCACGTAGAGTCCAAACACAAATGTGGCAGCCAAGGACTTGGCCAAGCAGTAGACAAAGACAATGGAAATGATGAAGGCATTCATGTGCGTGTGTACGTACGTAGACCGCGGTCACCCCAACGAACATGGCATTCATGGTAGCTAGGGCGGAGGAAACTAGCGCCAGCGTGTTGGCGGGGAGGAAACGTGGAAGACTGGTTTTCCAACAAAAAGTTTCGTCGTGTTTGGACTTCTGTAGGTATGGATTTTCTGGAAAAAAATAATTAAAAACATGAACAGCCACTGGGCACTAAATTAATAGTTTAGTCCAGAAAAATAATATAAAATGACATATAAAGCATACAAAAGTGATAACATAATAGTGTGAGACAATCAAAAATTATAAACACATTGAAGACGTACCACTTCCCCGTCCGAGCAACCTGCTATTTTGTTTTCTACAAACAAGAATCTCATCTAGAACTGTTAGACTATTTATTTTGGTTTTTGTACAATGAAAGCTAGATCCCATATGTCGGTTGATCCTGAATTGTCAGGAAGTATGCGACATGGGGTGGGTGGGAGAGTAAATTTTATTTCGAACCAATCTGACATCGGCCTCCCTAGTGAATCTTCCTGAGGTTGATGTATCGACCTCGGGATCTTTTGTGCGGGCTGGCAATCCTGCATGTCATGGAAAATCCTTGGATCCGAGCTCCAAGCTTGGTCTGATAAAGCGTTAATTCCACCTTGCGGCTGGTGGGAAACCGGCACTTGGGCGATGATCATTTATGGCTCCTTGACTAGATCTAATGTCATGGTAGAGGGTACGGCTATGGAACTTTGGGTCGTCGAGATCAATGTCCCGATGGGTGGTTGGAGCTTCAATATTCGCTGGTGCTTGGGCTGAACAGAGGCCTGGTTGCCCGGCGTAGATTCTACGCCAGCGTAGATTCTACGCCAGCGTAGATCTGGTCGTTGAACGATGACACCATCAAGCTGCTTTGACCACACAACGGACCTGTATGGTCCACCAATGACGGAGTCAAACCTGGTGGATCTTGGGTAAGGGGGTCGCTAACTGCTGATCTGAGTTAGATGGTAATAGGACGAAGAGGAACACAATGTTTTACCCAGGTTCAGGCCCTCGTCGAAGAGGTAAAACTCTATGTCCTACTTTTATTGTATTGATTATGATGGAGTATAAAGTACATGATGGTCTACCTCAAGATCGTATGTGAATGAATGTTTCTCCGCCCTATGGTCTAAGAGGGTGTTTGTTTCCAGGGACTTATTGGTTTAGGGACTTAAAAAAGTCCCTATAAGTCCCATCTAAACCAAACATGAGGGATTTATAGGGACTTAAAGTGGGCATTTGAGAATTATGAAATAAGACTCTCAAGGAGGGACTTATAGGGACTTATAGTTGTAATATGGTCTTCTAGTCCATGTTAAGTCCCAGGAACCAAACAGGTAGGGACTTTTTAGGGACTTGGAACTTATAAGTTGTGACTAAAAAAAGTCGTAGGACTTATGAACCAAACAGAGCCTAAAACACCTCAACTTATATAGACGCCAGGGGTACCTAGCGTTAAATGTAGGTCTGTTACATTAAGGGATAAACATGCTGATGATTTGAACGTGTCCTGGAGTATGCATCAAGTCTTCGGAGAATTCCATCGTGAGTATGCCATGGGGCAGGGCAAACATGGCCCACTCGCCGTTTACTTGGGGGTGCTACTTCTTGAGCTTGTGTTGATTTTTCCCTTGAAGAGGAAAAGGTGATGCAGCAAAGTAGAGATATGTATTTACCTTAAAAACCAAGGTATCCATCCAGTAGGAGGCACAAGAAAGTCTCCAATAGATGCACCTGCACAAACTAACAAACACTTGCACACAACGCGAAAAAAGGGTTGTCAATCCCTTCACGTTCACTAGCAAGAGTGAGATCTAACAGAGATAGATTTAAAATATAAATAAAGGTAAAATAAAGTAACACAAATAAATTGCAGCAAGGTATTTTTGGGGTTTTAGTTTTATAGATCTGAAAATATATTATAAGGAATTGACCTGGGGGCCATAGGTTTCACTAGATGCTTCTCTCTCGAAGAAAGCATACGGTGGGTAAACAAATTACTGTTGAGCAATTGATAGAAAAGCGCAAAGTTATGATGATATCTAAGGCAATGATCATGAATATAGGCATCACGTCCGTGACAAGTAGACCAAAATGATTCTGCATCTACTACTATTGCTCCACACATCGACCGACTCCTGCCTGCATCTAGTGTACGTATTAAGTTCATAAGAACAGAGCAACGCTTTAAACAATATGACATGATGTAGAGGGATAAACTCAAGCAGTATGATATAAACCCCATCTTGTTATCCTTAATGGCAACAATACAATACGTGCCTCGCTGCCCTTTCTGTCACTGGGTGAGGACACCGCAAGACTGAACCCATCACAAAGCACCTTTCCCATTGAAAGAAAAATCAATCTAGTTGGCCAAACCAAGTCGATAGATCGGAGAGAAATACAAAGCTATCTTAATCATGCATAAAAGAGTTCAGAGAAGACTAAAATAATATTCATACATAATCTGGTCATAAATCCACAATTCATCGGATCTCAACAAACACAGCGCAAGAGAAGATTACACCGACAAGAACATCTAGGAGAACATTGTATTGAAGATCAAAGAGAGAGAAGAAGCCATCTAGCTACTAGCTATGTACCCGTAGGTCTGTAGTAAACTACTCACACATCATCGGTAGGGCAGCAAGGTTGATGTAGATGCCCTCCGTGATCGAATCCCCCTTCGGCGGAGTACCAGAAAAGGCCCCAAGACGGGATCTCGCAAGAACAGAAGCTTGGGCCGGTGGAAAAGTATTTTTGGCGCCCCCTCTGACGTAGGGGGAGTATTTGGGTATTTATAGGGCTGAGATTAGGGTTAGAAGAGCCACAAGGGGTCCACTTGGTGTTTGAGGTCGTCTTGGTCCAGTTGAAACATTGGGAGGAAGGAGCGGACCGTGAAGCTTTATGACATGTTCGTGTGTTGTGTTATGGTCTCCGCCCACCCGTATGCACGGCGGCGTCCATGCTAGGAGCTCGGTGTGTGGCTCGGGAAGAAACAGAAGGGGTGAAAGAAAGTGGCCGGGGTCAACGCTACTAGTTTTAAACACGGCTGTGCGGGCATGCTTGCCGGCGAGGACTTGGACTCAAGGGGAAGCAGAGGGTCGTGCAGTCGTGGCGATGTTGGCACGATGGTAGTGGCCGTGGCCGACGCAAGCGGCCGGCTTGGCGGTTTGAGCGGAGGTCGGCCGGGAGGAGGAGATGGGTGGTGGGAAAAAGGAGGAGGGAGGAGGGCGACACGGGTTGCAGGGCTCGTCGGTGGGATCCGACTCACGTGGCGTGAAGGCTCGCGTGCAAGTGTCTCCCACGGGCCTAGGTGAGGGGCTCGAGCTGTTGTGGGCTATAAAAAAATTGGTCCCTGGTATGTGCCACACGTCAGGTGCGAGCACATATCAACTCCAAATGTTTTCAATGAGAAGTTTATTTACGCAAGGTGCACAACTTTAGTTAGCAAGCATGGCAACTTTCTTGCTTTAGTTTATTTTTGAAAAAAAATTACCGTGTGTAACTGGAATTTGCCATTCTTGCGTGACTGGAACTGCCATCGAAAACCTCAAGGCCGAAGTGCCACGCACATCACGTCTGGCACTTTTTGGAATATTTTTTGCCTTTTTTAGTGCTGGCTAGGACGGTGACCGGTCAAAACCAGTCAAATACTAACCCAGGGTTTTTTCTTGTCCGGCATTGAAAGTCAACGGTTGTAAATCAGATGGTTTCGTAGTTCAGGGTTATGGTTTAGAGTTTGGTGGTAGTTTGAGGTTGTAATATGGACTTCTCCCCTTGAAATATGCTTTAGACTAGAACAAAACAACCAGAATTCTCCTCAAACATACAGTTATGGAAACTTATTTCAAATTTCAATATGAAACTCACATGTATGAAACATGGTTGAAAGTACAATTTTAAACAACTAGGGAAATGAGCCTTACATTAAATTCTTGCTCAAAACTGTGAACATATGAAATATGGAACACACATTGATGAAAGTTGAAACCTCTGGAATTGAAAGCCCTTCCGACGGTGGGCTAGGAGTGTCCTTTGTTGCGAGTGACACATTACAAGAAGATTACCACGGATTGACTCTGACATTTATAGTTTCCCCTGGATAGAGATGGAAGGCATCCCTATCCCAAAACTGTAGGTTGTTTTACTGGTAGTCGAGAGAAGTTGAAATTGCGAAGCCATGCCTTGAAACCTAGCCTTTTGAGTAGCATTACTTCCCCAATAGCTACCATGAAGATAAACCAGACAACATCGAGAAAAAGGAAAGGGGATACGATAGCACATGAAATATAAGCTATTTTGGGGGCAGCCGGCTCTAGTACCACGTAGAGTCCAAACACAAATGCAGCAGCCAAGGACTTGGCCGAGCAGTAGACAAAGACGATGGAGATGATGAAGGAGGTCATGCGCGTGCGTATGTCGACTGCGGTCACCCCAGCGTACATGACGTTCATGGTAGCTAGAGCTGAGGAAATGAGCGCCAGTGTGTTGGCGATGATGAACGCGTGAAAGACTGGTTTTCCGGCGAGCATAGCTATTCCAGCTGTTCCACGCTTACCCTTCAAGTCGTCTGTTCGGAAGCCGCCTGGCAAGGTGAAAGCTGCTGCGAAAGCTACCGTAACAATTAGCACTGACCCAATGCCAATAATCTGCGTGGAATCTGAGATCTTCTTTTCTTCCACTTTAATTTCTATTGGCGGGATATGTTCTTTGAGGAACCAATCACAGCGGTATGCAGCAGTTTTAGCTCCTGCACCTTTAAGTAGTAGGTATATCCTATTTCGTGGGTTCTGCAAGAAAAATAGAGGTTAATGTGTTCCTCATGATCGAGTTGAAAATTCCACCAACCTACTCATATCTAGACCAGAATACTACCGATTCAAAAATATGGCAGAACAAGAATAAGATTGATGAACTACGTACCAGCATGAAATTAAGGCCTTGTGGCATCTTCGTCCATGCAATATCTAGCGGTGTTTGGCCTATGTTGTTCACTAAATCCAGCTGAACTTGCGGGTTCTGAATTAGAAGATAGAAAATCCACTGGTTCCCGACTATGGCAGCAAGATGGAGTGGACTGTTCCCATGATTGTCTTGCACGTTCATAATTGGTGCAAATGGTATGTGATGGTACCAACTTCCGACCACAAGAGGGTGCTCCTTCGCAATACCAACATGTAGGAAGGTCTGGCCATTACCATCACGCAGTCCTGCGCATGTGGGCACCGTGTCCAGCAACACGCGAAGTGTAGACCATGAACTTCGCGTTGCTGCCACATGTATAGGGAACGACCCACTATTGTCGCTTTGAAATGCTGCAGATTCGTCACAGTGCAGTAGTAGTTTGATCACCTCCTTGCTTTGACTCCCCCATGATATGGCAATATGAAGAGGCGTACTTCCAGTCAATTGGTCCGCTTGTTTGGTGAGGGCCTTGTTCCAGTCCAGTAACTTCTTTGTAATCTCTGAAATTTCGGTTGTTCATTTAATTTGTCAGAGAGCTATGAGCCTATGATACAATTTCTTCAAGATGCATCTAGGTAAGGTTTCACACCATTAACTTACTCAAATTTAATTGCAACCGAACCTACCTAGACACTACTTTTTGGTTCATCAAATCAAAATGAAAGAGTTAATCCCTTAACAGGGAAATGAAATGAAAGAATATAAAGCATGCTAAGACCTTGATGTATGAAACCAAAATCCATTGATCTGTTAGAACTAGAAAATAAACAACACACAATATTCTCATGTTTAAAGTTTTGATCTTTGACACAAAAGCATGGCATACTCTGGCTTACTCAACCGAGTTAATGAACATCATGAGGGGAAGAAGAAATTAAATGAATGCTAAGGATAAAAGAGAAAAACTTATTTAACGAGGTTAACAGTATTAATATTTTAATTAGAAAACTAGTCCAAGAGAAAGAAAAAGAAACATTATAGGGAATGGTTGATGGTGCACTAGTACAACTGTACAAATCAAACTTCTAAGTAGCTGAAACTCCGCTATAGCATTTGGAGGAGAATCACGCTAAAGTTGTGCATGTTTTGCGCTAAATGGACTTTGTCACTAGTATTGGGCTATAGCATTATTTAGCGATAAATTTGGGCCTCAATTTTGCGTCACGCTAAAGCTATGCCAAGCTTTGCTTCGTTATGTATGTATGCTTTGCTGCTATGCCTTTATTATATTATGGCCGGATGCTTTGCTACTATGCATGCATGGCTGGATGCCAAGTATATGTGTGTATGCATGTCAATTGTCAAGCATGTCTATGGATGAGATATTGATGCATCACTGCATACTTAGTTCTTCATTTTTTTTCATGATACAATGAAAATGCTGAATGGGGCTTAGTTTCACTATAGCTTCTCATAATTTCTGGTAGAGCCGCCGCTCAATGACAAAACCCGCCATATGTAACTTTGCTACATATCCAATATTCTAGTGCCGTGGATTTGGTTTTCAACAAAATTATAGCATCCAACAACAGTAATCGCCACCCTTGGTAGTTTTAGAGAAAATAGATTGTGGGAAAACAACTGGCTATGGTTGTAGTCTATTTAAAACCGAAAGAAAAACCTTAAATTAGTTGGGAATTCTAACTATCCCGGAGTATAATTTTATTCTAGTTAGTGTTTTCACAGTAACCAACTATAAACTACCGAAATAACTCTCGCATTTTTGTTCTATTAACTTTCCGGTTTTTCTCTCTTGAACTTCGAGTATTCTTTTTCATTTTATTTTAGTTATAGAACTTCTATTTTATTTTCATATGAGCTCGTCCTTTAATAGAGAATTAATTAGTAGAATGGCTTTCAATTTTCTTTAGACAATAAATTGATTACTCACTTTAATTTGAACTTCTTGGTTTTTGTTTTAAAAATATGGAAATCCGCAAAAAGACCATGTACAAAATATTCTAATACAAAAAGGAACTCTTATTCTTGTGTATGAACTTTTTTTTATTTTAGTGTATGAACAGAAAATTCTACACGGTGAA